AGCCGTACCTAAATTTAACATACACTGAATTCATGTTTCTAGAAATACAGTCATTGATGATGACATTATTAAATAGGAAATTAAAGCATCTTTGGATATAACCACCTATTATCCATCTATATACATTTTTACTATTATTGTTCTTCTTATTATTATTATACTTAATATAAATCATCAAGGACATGTCATCTTTATGCTGGAATCTGCCTAATTCAGCAAGCCTCTACCAAATGACAAATTATTTTATACCAAGAGTCTGATTAGATGCACAGCTTTTAACATCAAAAAGAAACGAAAAAAGAAGCATTTTCTCCTTCCTCATTAAGGTATTTATTTTTCTGTCTAACGATAGATTGTTTTGTTTGTTGGATTTTATTATTTATTTATTTAGCATTTAGCATTTTTCTCCACAAATCTTTCAGCTGAGATGAGAACCAATGGCTTAAATATATTTGGAAACTTATTTTCTTCAAATCCAAATTAAACTTTTTGTTATTCTTGGATCTATTCTAGAAAACAATGCTCAGACATTTGTTTAATTAACATGTAGAATACATTGTCTTGCCTGGTGCAAATAAACCAGTTTGAAGCCAAAATACATTTTTGACTTACTTCACCTACTTTGTATTGCCACAAGATGGCCCTATTTTTTAAAGCAGACATATAGCATAAACATTTGATCCAGTGGACAGGGTTTGACATTTAATACAGATAAATATAATTAACCACTATTAATCCCCTTATTACATCTTATTTTCAAGCCATTTTTGTTGTAGCATAATGACTGACTGACAGAGATATACAAAAAAAAGGTTATTTGAGGAAATAAGGTGGCACATGACACGACAAAGCAAACTGTGGATTCATACACACACAAACATAGATATACACACACATACACACCTGGAGGTCCTGGGGTTTGTCGGACAGGGGTGATTTGTTGCTGTGGCGTTTCTTTTTCTGGCCATGGTTAAAGTTCGGTGGAGCCTTTTTGGGTGGTGCTGTAGGGGCCCCGGTGTCCTGACCCTGGGTTCCTGGAACCGGTTCAGGCTCCTCCACCACCTCCATCATCAGCATGCTCTCAGTGTCCTCCTCATCCATAGAAAAAACTGCATGTATACACAAGTCAGATTAATCACATCACACAAATGTGTAATCATATTGATGCAGCCCTCAGTTGACAAATACCGTATTAGTGAAATCAAATTTAGGCATCTTTTAAAAGGGATCTCACAGTACATGTGTGTATGAATGGGAGCTACTGTATTTTCTGTGTTAGCAGACTGACCTGTAACTGTGTCCAGCTCCACTGGGGTGTGCTGGGCCTCTGGTTGTGGAGGAGGCTGGAAGATGGGAGCCATCCCTGGAGGAGGGATGTAGGAAACCTGCAGGGTTACTGTGGCCTGGAAGAGGGAAAACAGATTGAAGATGGTTTGACATTTCTCAGAAAGACTGAAGAAAAGAGCACAAGATTTGCAATGATGCAACAACAATGTAAAAATCTGCAACAAAAATCTAATTCCAAAAATAAATATTTGCTATTTGCACAGTTGTTTTCAACACTGATAATAAGAAGAAATGTTTCCTGAGCAGCAAATCAGAATGATTTCTGAAGGGTCATGTGACACTGAAGACTGCTGAAAA